CTTCCCTGCTCCGACATCCCCAGAGGAGAGGCTGTTACACACTTTGGACACGAAACGTGCGCTTCTGTTCTACTTAAACAGAACCCGCCCAACGAGACGGGACTGTCAACTGTTCGTCTCCTATGCACCAGCAAGGCTGGGAACTCGCATTACAGCTCAGCATTTGTCAATGTGGATTGTAGGTCTCATCTGCTTCTGCTATCTTATCGCTAAGCAGCCATTGCCTGGCCCTATCAGAGCTCATTCAACCCAAGCTGTTGCAGCCTCAACTGCCTTCCTCCAGGGAGTTCCCTTAATGGACATTTGCAGAGCCGCTATGTGGGCTACGCCTAATACGTTCATAAGGCACTACGCCCTAGATGTCCGAAAGAACTCTCGTACCAACATGGGGCATCACATCTTATCCTCGGCTTCGCAGTAAGGACCTGCTAGCACCCTCCTCCATGTAGGCCACTGCTCGCTAATCTCCTATGGGTGTGAAGCACAGAGACCACGTTGAAGATGAACAGGTTGCTTACCTGTAACTGATGATCTGCAAGTGGTCATCTGCGCAGTCACACCCATGGGATTATGCACCTGCACTGATCCGAATCGGTGGTATGCAAAGCTCACAAATGGATTTTCATGCCTCTCTCCCAGGTGTGCGCAGGAACCCCACTGCGCATGCCCAAGGAGGACATGCCTGAGGTCTGGGCGCGAAAATCCGTTAGAGCTTGCTACAATGCCGATCGATCCAGCGCAGGCGCACTGTATCCCATGGGTGTGAATGCACAGATGACCACTTGAAGATCACCAGTTACAGGTAAGCAACCTGTTTTTATTATATGCTGTGTAAACAGTCCCAATAAACTGTACCAGTTTACTAAACTGTACTAAACGAATGACCAGCTCCTGTGCAAATTTCTTTGGACGTGAGCACTGTTGATTATTGTGCAGCACCAGTTCACATGTAGCCTCTTTGCCTGCTTGTGAATCCAAGGCAATTGAGTGCTAAACTAGACCTTACATCTAGCATGATCATCATGGGGACTTGCGGGCAGATGGCAGCTGTGAGTTCCCACTGGAAACTCAGTTCTGAAGCATCCCAGAGGCTGGATTCAGGTCGGGGTCACGGTGTAGAGGGAGGAGGGGCTTCAGTCTTTCCCCCATGCTATTTTCCCAACCTGAAATGGCCCGGGGGTGTTATTTGCCTCATTGGGAGGGGGGGCTGCATATACATTGAATACTTGAATGTGCAGACCTCCCACAGGGAAAATAACACCCCTAAGACCATTTGGGGTCAGGAGAGCACGGGGGTGGGGGGGGGGTTGAAGCTTGTCTTTCCTTTGCACCATTATCCTGCTCTGAATTGGGTCCCTGCAGCACTTCAGAGTTGAGTTTCCTTTAGGAACTTGCAGCTGCTGTCCTGCTGCAAGTCCCCGCAGTGGTCGTTTGTTACACGTAACATCTAGTTTGGGCTTCAATAAGACACACCAATAATTCCCATCAGCTAATAATGTCCTCTTTATTTTAAGGAAGCTGAATGATCCGTCCATTGTCACACCTTTTTCTAGAGATGACCGGGGATTCACTCCACTCCATATAGCTGCTATATGTGGTAAGCAGAGCACATTCTTTATTAATGGAATGTTGTATCAGTTCTTAGACTTTCTACCTGCTTTAGGGAATGCTTTCCATGGAGGAGAGAACTGTCAATGGTTACTAGCCATGGCAAGCAAAGGGAGACTCTAAATTTATAGGCAGTGGCCCTCTGAAACCCTGTGCTAGGAGGCAACACTGGGGATGGCCTTGGCCTCTATATCCTGTCTGTCAGCCTTCCAAGAGAACTGACCGATCCGGCTGTGAAACAGGTTGTTGGACTAGATGTACCAGTGACTCTTGACATGTTCTTTTTTTGCAACAGAATTTCGCATCAGACACACCCCACAGGATTCTGGGCTACAGATCTCATTGTCGCTCCACTTTCATCAAGCCTGCACTTTGTAATGTGCTCAATGCATGCCTGCAGCTTCATGCGGCAAGGAAAGAGGTTTTTTTTGAATGGCAAACACACTTTTGGGGAAGGCCTTTTTAAAGGAATTCATTTTAAACGTTTGTATCCTGAAAACGTTTGACCAAATCTGTCTTTCCAGGCAGCTTCCAAGTGTAAAGAAAACATAACGCGAGCATATAGTTAATAAAAAACACAATAATAAAAAACCGAGCAAGGCTAATTTAAAAACAAATTGAT